TTTTTTTAGGTTATTTCTTCTTTCATCTAACCAACCTGTTCAAGTTATATAACATGATATTTTATTCGTTTGCTTAGTATCATGCATATGCAAAGAAAAGAAAGAAAATAGCCAGCCAATTGTATGACACAGAGAAGTTGGGCGATTCTTTTCTTGCCATAGGAGAGTCATATCATAAACTTAGGAAGTTTGATAAGGCTCTGAAATGGTACACAAAGAGCTGGGAAAAGTACGAAGTGATTGGCAACTTGGAGGTAACTTTATGGAATCTTGACTTGTATTTCACTTTTTCTATGTGAGGTCATATAAAATGAAGATTTAATATTTCTTTTTGCATAGAAGTTCAAATGAATTTAGACTCTATGCAAAAGGCTTTTGCTATTACAACAACAACAACAATAACCCAGTTGAATCCCACTAGCGTAGGGTCTGGGGAGGGTGTGTGTACGCAGACCTTACCTCTACCCAAAAGTAGAGGTAAAAAATGCCAATGAAAAAAAGCTTTTGCTATTATGGAGTGTAATTTGATTTTTGAGCTTTAACTAGTATGAAGTTTGCTTTTAGACTTCTGAAATCTTAGTTAATGCTGGTAGTGATTTCAGGGACAAGCAATGGCAAAAATCAATATTGGAAATACTTTTGATTCTAAAGGTGATTGGGAATCTGCTTTGGCTTCTTTTGAAGAGGGTTATAGGCAAGTATACACACTTGGCTGCTCAAATAATTCATATCAAAGCTCTATGATGAACTAGTTTACTACTTCAGAAGAGATCCTCTTAACCTATGGTTTGGTTACTCATTTTCCCCTCAGGATTGCTGTTAAAGCAAACAAGCCTTCTACTCAGCTGGCTGCTTTAGAAAATATGCACTATAGTCAAATGATAAGATTCGATAATGTGGAAGAAGCCAGGTAAGTTTTTTTTATCCCCGACAAAGCTTTCTGATAGGAGTTAGGACCCAAAAACTCAGTGCAACAAAATTTCAGCTAAAATTTGATCGGTTTGGCGATATAATATTCTGGTGCATTTTATTCTCACAACAATTACTCTAATACTACTCCTTTCACAAACATGTTTTATGAAATGGCTGTCACATATTCAAATCTAGACTCGTTTTCAGATATTCAATTGTAGCATATAATAATGACAAGGTAGTTATTTGCAACCTTGAAACAAAATAGAGTTTATTAAATACGTAATAGTAAAGATGTTTTTATGCAGGAGGCTACGGGCGTTGATTGACAAATTAAAGAACTCAGCAAGTGAATATTTTGGAGTGCATGATGTAGATGGGGGTTTGTGCTCTGAAACAGAATCAGATGCTGATCAACCACCGGATGGTGTATCAGATACGGGGTTTTCACCCACGAAGAGTGAATTTTGTAATAAAAAATTAAAATTTCGTGACAGTGCTGATCAATCATGTGAAGATTTACCTTTGAATTCGTTGTTTGGTACTAAAAAGCTAGCTAAGAGGAAAACTAGTTGTACATCCTCTACAAATCCATCTGATTGTTTGCTTAGAAGTTTATCCAAATCAAGTAGTAGTCAGGCTGGGACAATGGGTCGTAAGCGTACCCGCATTGTCCTTTCTGATGATGAAGAAAATGCTGAGGTGCTTTGCTCTGGAGGGCTTGCTAATGTACATGATGAAGATAATATGGCTTCTTTTCCCCATGATATGTTATATAAGGTTGCTGGGGAAGATGTGGCTACATCAGATAATTGTAAGTTGACCACAAACTTATTTCATTATTTACTTGTATCATATAGTCCATCATCTTCGATGGAGCCAAAGATTCACCATTTTTTGGCTTTGGGGTATGATGGAATAAAGCAAAGTCACTCTTTAAACTGTCTGCGCTTGTCTGCGCTTCTTTCAATAGTGAAATAGCAGTTAGTCAATGCAACTTTCGTTGCTCATCACGGGTCCTCCAGAAACAATCGCTCTATATTTTAAACATAGGGGTCAGGTTGTATACATCCGACCCCCCTTACGCCGCAATGGGCGGGAGCCTTTCAGGAACTAGGGTAATGTTGTTGTTGTTGTATTTACTTGTTTCATATCAACGTAAAGTTGACACTACTTTGGCCATATGCAGTTAAAAGTGGGAAACAACAGTGTACTAATGTTCAGAAGGACCAATGGGTAACATATTTAACCGCAACTTTTTCGTGTTATTTTACTTTGAATAAGTGATACCAGCACTAAGACACCAATTGCTCTTCTTCTTTATTGTTACAGGATGTCTCACCAGTAGCCTCAAAATGCATAGTTAATGCTTGCACAGCTATGAACATTGAAGAGAGCACCTGTTCTGACAAATCCAGGACTTCAAGATCAGATCATAACAATTTCAGATTTTCCAGCCCACACAAGGCTGCTGAAAATTCCAAGTTATATGCTAATGACAACACAATACATGCCAATAGTGTTTGTGCTGATGAGCATTGTGTAAGTGCAAGGTTGCAATTCATTTATGATGTCATTTCTTATTGTATGCCACATCTATGTTTATTTTGTAGACAAATGTGCTCTGCCGATGAGCTGTTAGGTTACTGTGAAGTTATGGTTTTCAATTCTTAGTTCATTAAATTCTACAAGCATGTGATAGATAATTTGAACGAAAATGCTCAACAAAGTTAGTGCCTTTTTTAGTTGAAGAAGTTTAACTAGTTCTAGTTATTTGCAGAATATATCTTGATTACCTATCTTAATTGCAGAAGCATATTGTTGTTAAAATTGGTGAAGACTATGTTCATATTGAACAAGAGCTGTGCATTATTGGATCTAGTCTCAGCATAGAACAGCTGAAGGTTGAAGTGGCATGTATGTACTACATACAACTGCCTTGTGAGAAAAGATCAAGAGGTAGACTTTAATTCCCAGTAATGAAATGATTGGGATAAGTGATTATTGGTCAGTCCCTATTCTACGTATTCACAAATGGATACTTTGTCCTAATTATTTTTCTGTTACCAGGGAATTGACATTTCTTATTCCTAGCAATAACTTTGTACGTAGTATAACAGTCAATTCTTCTATGAAGCTCTATGAATTATGAATCTAATGAAATGCTGGTTAGTGGTTTCCACTGTCTAGGATTCATAGTTTATGCATTTGGTGTATATATCTGTGCTACATCATCAATTTATCTGTTTTGCGATCTACTCATTTGCTTTTTTAATAATACGTCACTCACTCTTTAAACTATCAAATAATGCTAAACAACCCACAACAGCTTTGTGATGGTCTGCAGCCATGTTCCATGTTGTACATGTTGATTTTAGAATATCAATTTGGCAATGGAAGCATGGATAGCAACATCTTTTCCTTGATATTTTTCATGCACAATGGAAGAAACCTATGACGCCTTTAGTAGAACTTTGCCACTACTTTAGTGCATGAGTTTATTTATTTTATGCTGCTGACCACAACGTAGTTGTCTAGTTGAGACTATTCAAATTTCTCAGCTCACTGGCAACAACAAAAAATGCTGTTACCAAAAAATGCCACGAAGTCTTGAACACAGATTCACCTGTTTTTACAACTGACAAAAATGAGACTGATTGAAATTCTTATATTCTATATTGGAAACCATAACGAAGGAAAGGTTAATACTTAATACAAATACATCCTCCCTCACTGCATTGAAAGTCTAAATTATGAAAATGTATCACTTATTGCTAATTATCATTGAATATTTGAATTGCCTTGTCAGGCCTAGTTCCAGTTATTCAACACGTTAAATATGATGGAAGGGTTCTTGAATCCTTCGAGGCAGTTGATGTTCTCAATGACCACTTGAGCAGAAAGAGTTGCCTTGAAGCTTCACTTGGTGGTACTAACCTTGTTACCATCATAAGTTTTGTTGTTTTTGTTTTCTTTTTAAAGTTACACTTTAATTTAAGTTATTTCACCATCCTTATTTGATACCTTTTCCTACTTTCATACTATCCATTCATTATTTTAGCATTAAATGTAGTCCCTCCGTCCCGAATTAATGGTTTCACTTCATAATTCACAGGTCAAACATTTTCTTCTTTATGTATTTTCTTTAATTATTCGTTAAAATATCATAGTCTTGTCACCTCTTATTTTATAGAGAACTTGATGTAGTATTTTAATATGTACAACTTTTAAGGAAGCCCGCAAAGAGACTTTTAATTTGGGATGGATAGAGTATAAAATCTGAAAACAAGGTCTATATATATTCTTATGAAAATGAAGTTACAATTTTTTTGTTTGAAATGCTTGAAAATAGGAAGCCCGGTAAATAATTGCAGAGTATATCCATGCATTTTTAATGTTCATAATAGCATTCTGTTGATAAAACAGCAAGCTCGATTTCCCTCTAGAATCCAAACTGTGAGTAATTTTACCTTGTGCTATTCAGCTTGATAGTTCCATCTGATAGTTCTTTTTCCTGTTGGGACATTGGTGCCTTTGGATGTTATATTAGTAAGTAAAATAACGGAAACACGTATCTTGGTTATTGAACATGGATCTTTCGGTGCTTATAACGTAAGGAAGCTCCTGCCCTCTTTCTTAACAAAAAAGTGGACGGACAGGAATATGAGAGGCTGCAGAATGAGTATTACAGAGAATATATGATCAGTTTTACATATTATATGATTTTTTTCTTTCTGCAAAGAGCCAAAGATGCTTCATACGCTGATAAGGATCTAACAAATATGCGCAGTGTGGGTACCTAAGCCTTTGGTGGAACTATATACTCAGTGCTGTAAAGAGCTATCTGAGTTACCCAACATGAACGTACTCAAGCAATTGTATAATCAAGAGGTTAGTGTGTGTATCACTCAAGTATTAAGTAAATCTAGTCCTCTGGAAAGTGCTTTCAAGTTTGTGATGCAAGAACCTCACTTGGAGAAACTAATATGGTTTGATTGCATCCTCTTATCAGGTGTCAGAGGACGAGATAGTTGTATCTGGATGTGAATTGCAAGAAATATCAGTGACACCATTAGTGAATGCAATAAATAAGCACCAAACAGTTGCTGCTCTAGACCTTTCACACAACCTGTTAGGTAGTGACAAAGATGAATGTTTGATTTTGATCTTCAGGTTTAATTATCTTTTGGTTATTGTTATAGATAAAAATCATTTGTACTCATTTGATCTTGTCTGATTAAATTTTCTAGGCAATGGAACAATGGAGAAACTTAAAAAAGTATTTACTGCATCACACCAGAGCTATGGTGGGCTGGCTTTGGATTTGCATTCTAATCGATTTGGCCCAACTGCTTTGTTTCAGGTGGAAACTCATGTTTTAGATTTAAATAATTGTTCATTTTTTCAATTAACCTTCACTAAGATATTAAGATGCCACATTGAATCCATGGACTAAATTGTCACAATAGCCCAGTTACTCTAGAAATGTTTTGGAAGTGAAGGTTAGTCTTGTAGAGAAATATACTATGAAGCTAGTGTTAGGCCATGGGAGTGGACGGATTGGATTGTGCTATTGTTTTCCTTTTCTGGCACGTGCTAATTACTGATTTGAAGTACATGGAAATGGTTCTCAGTCCTTAGGCGCATTGACGGTGCACAACACTTCACATGAGATGATAGGGTATGTCTCATGGCATTTGACTCTCTACCCGAGTCAGTATGGATAGGTTTCACTGTTTTGGGGCTTGAATAATGAGGTGTGGTGGGCATAAAACGGCAGGTTAGTTTCTAGTCATTTGCATGGCATACTCTAGGCAGTTTTGGACATGTCACATGTCTATGGAAAGCCCAGCTAGTCAGAGTGGTTTTTAGGATTTGCTGTTGGCTTCACCCTTTATGCTGAGTTGGTTTTAGATGTAGACGGGTTTAAGGTGTGAATTGTCCTAGATTATGTCTATTTTGTTTCCACATTGGTAATTTGCCTATCACTTTTGATTATCACAGTCCACTGATGTAGTGTTCACTGATGTTGCTGTAATTAAACTAGCATTGTGTCTGATTGTGAGGATATAACTCTTGTAATATCATTTTATTGTTTCAATTTAGTCTGATGTGAATCAAGCTGCTTTCATTCCCCTATCTAAAGAGTTATAGTTTCCATTGAACTGTCACAAAGGACATTATAATTTGTGTTCAAGAATGACCTGGTATCACAAAGAAGGGCATAATGAAACCCGATCATGCAATCTCGGGGACCTAGGGAACCTTGATATTATTTCACATAGTAATCTTACGGCTACATATAACTTCCATCTTTTGCAATTTAGGAATACCAATTAAGAAGTATGATGAAGTATTAAGGTAAATGAAATTATTTATATGGATTTATCTCTAAGTGAAGAATTAAAATAAAATAGTGGGATTCATTACATATTGTAAAGTTAACTTTTGTTGATGTTTTGAACTTCACTGTGGAATATTACTGGTGGACCTGGTGGTGGTTTGAACTTTCACTCCTCTCAAGTTGATATGACAGATGTTGTAGAGATTTGAAATAAAAGTCCATTTTCTTTAAATTTCGGGGTTGTTGGGACCAAAATCAAACTTTAGAGCTTGTGTGCACGGTGGTTTTGTGGGGTTGCATCACGATCCAAGCTTAAACTGAAAGCTTATCATAGTTCAAGCATAGACCGAGAAGGATTAAGACCGAGTATATGGACTGCAAGTTCAATGGAAAACGACATGAATTGGAAGAGAGGTGAAGGTCGATTCTCAACCCATCCCTAAAAGAGATTGGTTTTATGTACCTTGGATCAATCACTCATCCAGCCCATCCCAAAAAGAGATTGGTTTCATGTCCCTTGAATCTATCACTCATCCAAGGGATGCTGTAATTGACAATGATGTCGCTCTTGTATCAGAGCAGACTGGACGAAATGGAGGTTCACATCCAGAGTCATATGCAACAAGAACATGCCACGAAACTGTAAAGATAAGTTTTATAGTGCAGTGGTCAGACTAGCTATGTTGTATGGGAAAAAGTGTTAGCCTGTTAAGACCACCCATGTGCAGAAGCTTATGGTAACGGAGATGAGGATGCTTAGATGGATATGCAGGACGAGGTAGGAGTGACTTCTCTTGAAGACAAGATGCATGAATCAAGGTGAAGGTGGTTCCGGCACGTGCATTAAAGGAGCATTAATGCCCTGTGAGGAGGTTTGAGAGATCGACGGTGGGGAATTTGGAGAGAGGTAGGAGTAGACTAAATTTACTATAAGAAGAGATGGGGTGAGATGGCTAGACATGACATGTTTCTGCTACTCACTAATGCCATGACCCTAGACATGGGAGCTTGGAGGCCGGTGATAAAAGTTGTTAGGTAATTAGGCTTGGGACTTGGTTGTAGCAGGAAGGTAGGTGCAGATGAGTACCTTTGTAGGGGTTTCTTTTTTTATTTTATTTTATGAAACAGCCTTTCTTTATTTAATACTCTTTATTTGCTTTATCTTTACCACTCATCTTTTGATATTTGATTGTGCCAATCTATTGTTTTTAATATTACACACACAACACCACCACCATCAAGGCAACAACAAACCCAATAATCCCAACTCGAACTGGTCTCTTCTATTCCTCATTGCTTTTTTTCCTCTTAAATTCCAGGTATGTGAATGTAAGGTGCTATATAGTCGGCTAGAAGTGCTAAACATCTCCAGGAACCGTTTGACTGATGCATGTGCATCTTACATTTCAACCATCTTGCAAAAATGCAAAGGTATTAGTCTCCTATATTGACATGTTTCTGTTCTAGGATACATTTAATTCATGAATAAGTTGAACTGTTGAGTCTCTAATATGTTATATTTTGGCATTTAAAAAAGCCCTGTATAGCTTAAACATAGAACAATGTTACATCACATCAAGAACAGTTCAAAAAATTGCTGATTCACTGGATTCAGGATCTGCTCTCACACATCTTTATTTAGGTACTACAGTATCTTTCAAGTTCAAACAAGGTTTATTTTTAATTTATTGCGTTTTATTGCATGTGATATTTTTTAATTTTCAAGTGAACAGGATACAACCATCCAGTGTCTGGGAATGCTATAATGAACGTCTTGGCTAAACTCACCAGTTTGAACGAGTAAAATTTTTTGGATTTATTTATTCATTCATTGCATACAACTTGAGGTGCCATTCGTCGCTTCTGACATGTGGTTATCTGCAGTTTTCAAGAGCTTGGGTTGAGTGGATTGAAGTTGAGCAAATCAGTGGTGGAAAAGCTTTGTGAGCTTGTTAAGAAGACTAGCTTGTCTGACTTAATACTGGGAAGTACCAGTATTGGAAATGTGAGTAAGTTGTCTACTTTCTTATGCCAGTGTGTTGAGCATTAACTTCTTCGGCAAGTAACTTTGAATTTCGGGTAGTTCTTAATTTTTACTTGGGTATAATTGTTTCTGCAGGATGGAGCACTTGAAATATTTCAATCACTCTCTGAGAAGAATCCAGAAACAGGGAAACTTGACCTATCATCATGTGGATTGACTTCTGTTTGCATTCCCAGATTAAATACTGGAGTTTCTCTCTTAAATTCTATTCTTGAACTGAATCTTGGAGGGAATCCCATCATGGAAGAGGTGAGTTTAACCATTTTAATTTTTATATACTGGTGTTTGTGTTACAAATTTTTTGTCAGACATACAACTATGGTTAAGATTTTCAGTAAATTTTAAAAACAATCTTGTATACCAATTTTTAATTATAAGTCGTTTCAATCAATACAATTGCATAAATTACGATTTCATACTCAATCGAGGTGATCTAACTGATAAAGTTTATAAACCAAAAACTACTATTACCAAAAGGCCACCAAGTTTAATGTGTAATTACATCATAAGCAATGCATGCCTTCTATGGTAATTTTTTACAGGGTGGAACTGAACTGGCATCTTTGCTTACTAATCCTCAATGTTCCCTAAAAGTTTTGATACTATGCAAATGCCAACTCGGCATCCCGCAAGTTCTCGGGATACTCAAGGGACTATCAGAAAACTGTCATTTGGAAGAGCTCAATCTTGCTGAAAATGTACACAATCTTGATGAACTCCATACAGACCCCAACCTATCAAAGAGCTCTATTGCTTCGGAAAAGGAGATTTGCACAGGTTGTAGTCAACTCGAAGTTCCTGACAGTGAAGATGATGCAGAAGGAAGCATTGCTGCCACATCTGCTTCAGTTCACAACTCAGAATGCAAGTTGCTCATTGAAGAGCTTTCAACTGCTATTGAAATGGCAAAACATCTGCAGCGGTTAGACCTGAGCAATAACGGGTTTTCTCAAGAAGCTGGACAGAGGTTATATACATCATGGGCATTGCATTCAAGATCTGGCATAGCTCAGAAGCATATCCAGGGGAATGTAATTCATTTGTCTGTCCAGGGAGTCAAGTGTTGTGGCACAAAACCATGCTGCCAAAAGCTTTGACTTCAATGTGCTCTAAGATATGGTTGGTTGTTTTATGAGAACTATGCATGCATTTTGTTAAAAACCCTGATTATGCATTTAGGTACATAGAACTTGTAAGTATAAGGAACATGGATGAATCATGAATATATGAGCAGAGCCAAGAAATATATTTATGTATATGTGTGTGGAATACGTATAACATACATATCATGATAACGTTTAAGTAACCAATTTTAAAAGAAATATAGGCAGCCATCTTGGTAATGTTGATAAACTTTCTCTTATAGGTGATATTTTTAGAGTATAATTTGCCAAATAGATGTCTTACGTCGAATGGCACATGGTTAACATAAAATGTCTGAAATTTTCTCATGACCAAGGTTCTGTTTTGTTGAGGGAAAAATATTTTCCTTGAAGAATATTTACCAAACACAAATGATTTACAAAAAAAATTATTTTCCAATCATATTTTCCGTTTTGGTAAGAAAGAAAATATTTTTTTTAAAAATCGTTTCTTTTATTAATATTTAAAAACTAAAATTCAAAACATACCAATTCTAGGTTTTGAATTCTACTTCCTTTGATCTAAACTAAATTGCATGTTTATTATGTACATGGTCAAACTTTATTCATTTTCTTTTCTTAATTTTTTTAGTTATTTGATAAAATAATATAGTCATTTCACCACTAGTTTTATAGATCTTTTGATGTAATTTTTAAATATGTAATTTTTATTTTTTTAATTCTATACCTTTTTTCATATAAAATGATTTAAAATAAATTAAGTCAAACATAAAAATTTGAAACAAATTATTTAAATTGGTCCCTGGAACAGATGACATTTGCACTAGACCTGGCAATCGAGTTAATCGGTTCTGTTTCGGTTTGGACCTTTTCAGTTCGAGTCTCTTTCAGATATATGTTATAATCAATTCGGGTCGGGTTAGTTTGATTCCAGATGAATAAATTTTAAACGAGGATATAGGCCGGTCAATATATGTTATTTCTATAGAAAAGCATCTCAGATCATGTATCATCAAAAAATTTGCAAACACAAGCTCAATTAAAGTTTGAGATATTGTAATATAATTTAAAACAATTTTATGTTAAAAAGATAACACAAACATACAAAAAATTCAAAAATATACTAAATCAAGTCAAATATACAAAAATAATGCACAAATATCCAACTAAGACAAAAACACAAAAATCACATTCTTTAATAATGCATAAATTAAACACAAAAATATTTAAAAATAAAATTTATGATTATAAATAAAGAAAGAGAAAAAAACCTTGAGATCGAAGGGACGCGACAGCGGCGAGGACTACAAAATGGCAATGGCGAAAAGGAGCTCGATGGCGTGAGAACGACTACGAGCTTTGAGGTCGGCGACGGGAGCTAGAATGGCAACGACCTTCAAGGTCGACGACAGGAGAACAACAAAGACGAGGGGAGGTGGGGCGACAGCGACGGTGAAATAGAGCTCCACGGTTGGGAGGTTGGGCGACGGCGATGACCTACGAGCATAGAGACGACGGTGATGGAGAAACGACTCTTTTGAATCGGTTATTTATAATGACGGATTCAAAAGGCTTTTGAATGAGTTATTATAAATAACTGATTTAAAAGGTATCTATCTTTTGAATCAGTTATTAATAATAACCGATTCAAAAGCCTTTTGAGTCGGTTATTAACCGATTCAAAAGGGTCCAGTTGGCGAATTCCACAACCTCATTTGCACCAGTTTTGTTTACCACCCATGTAAATGGGGTAGTTAATTTGACCTTTTTTGTAGTAGTGTGGGGACACATCTTGTTATTGCATGCATATTTGTATATGCTTTTACCACTTTGGAGTTTCCTGACCAAAGCTCCAAGAGTTGAATTGGAAACACATGTCAAGGAGGTCAAGCTGGTAATCCAAAGAGCTTGTATTTCACATCCCTCTAGAAGAAGAATGCTCCTTACACTCTGCATGAGACAATTCCGTGGGTTTAAAGTTAAAAAGTTATTAACATATTAAATTTAAGAACATATTAAAAGGTCGACAAGTCGACCTTCCACCTCTAGTCGGCACTACAACAAAGTCGACATTACACCTGTTGATGCTCAATTTTGAGTTAATTTACTATGTATTATGACTATAAATTGTAGTCGACATGAAAAAGTTCAACACAAACAAATGTAAATGTAGTCCACCCACATTGTATTACTTACCTTGGCATTATTAATTGCATTTACAATCGCTAAGTGTGATAGTTTTTTTGAAAATTTATTTCTCTAGAGGCACATTTTCGGGAGTGCTTGATTTGTTTGGCTCTTCTTCACTCTAAATGTCTCTCCAAAATTAGAAATGCACTCAAATAACAGATATTGCATGCACCAGATAGTGAAGCCCAGTTTAACCATGTAATTATGGAAAGTTTGAAAGCCAATTTAAATTTATATACTCATGGATGATGGGAGGACAAAGCACATGTAGCGGAGGGTGTTGGATGTTTTGCCGCCTTAATTTACCAAACTTTTTCTTCTCTGCAACTAAATCCTTCCCCAGCGATGGGATACGAAGGGACTCCATGAACACCCATGCCCCCATGAAAAAGCCACGAACTCATCAGAGTTTGCATCTTTGGCGACGATCAATCTAGAACGGCTACATCTTTCCTGACCAATCAAAACAAGGAAAACAAACATCAATGTCGCCACCTTCACGATCCACTCGCTTGCATACTCTTTGTTTTCTTCCTCATTAAGTAGCCGACACAGTTTTGAGAACCTCTCAACTACAGAAGTGTAACAAACCATACCTTTTCACTAGTTTTCTTTTAAAAAAGCACGGAGTGCATTTGAATCATACTTCTCTTCATATCCGGATGCTAGTTCTGAAAATTCCATTAGAAAGTATCCAACAAGAACTCCTTTTACTAAAAACGACATTTCATCCCCTCCTTCTACTCCCACATTTGCCTCCCTAACCATCAATTGCCATAACATTGCTGGAGGGGGAACAAGTTGGACATTTAGGAAAGAACCAAAAGGATAATTTCTTCTGACTTCTTCAAGGATTTCCATATGATTGCATAACCTTTCTTTCATCAATATTTGAAAGTCTGGCAGTGACGACTTCACAGCCAACTTCATATATAAAAATTCCTTTACATTTACCTTCGTCTTGATCTCCGGTACCTATGTAAGAGCATATAATGTGAACAAATTCCATACGGACTAACATCTCAATCACTCCGACTAGTGTCAACGAAGGTCGACCATTGTGTTAGTTGATCATTGTGTTAGTCGACCAGACTAATCATTCATAAGCTTTGTTCAGTGATTAATTGGAGAGAGAATAATTAATATACTCTCAAATTTCTGACCTGGAGAGTTCCTTGAGTGGACTTTAATTTGGGCTTCTGCTATGCTGCGCTGTTGTCTTTTCAGGATGATACCCATCGCTTTCACTCTTGGAGTACGGCATAGAAGCATTCTTCGTCCTCATTGTAGAAATTAAATTGTTTTTGAGATATGGGACTTTGGGTGGAGCGGGTTTCAATCAACTTTTGTAGATGTCGAAGAGGTGGAAGAGAGGACCGATATCGAAAACTCACAAGTCGCACGATGAAGGAAGCTAAGATATGTTTTGGGAGGGTTTTTGTTTAGTCTCTTCCGACGTCGTTCCGCCCATTCTCAGTTTTTTTATTTTTTTAAACATTAAACATCGTTAGCGCTTTCTTAAATGGCATTCTTTTTCGTTCTTTTAGAAGCGTGTCTCACTTACGAGCCTGGACATTTCCGTGAATTCACCTTTGCAGGGTTGTCCACCAAATACAAAACCTTTACAAGGCATTATGCATTAGTCATTACTCAAGTAAAAATTTATCATCACTGGACATTATGGACATTATTAAGAGGAATTTACTTATGCATTAGCCATCATGCATTATGATTTAAGTGTTATTTTGGAAATAAAATAGTTTAAATGTTATTTAGAGAAATGACTTAATTAGTTTTAGTGCTATTTAATGTGAATATTTCATCAATTAATTACGTACGTACTTTCAGGCCAAAGAAGCAACTTTGATCACAATCAACACTCGGTTACTAGCTGCAACTTCAGAGGTCCGTAGTGTGTATGCTTATAATTTATTTTTACTGCGTATATATGTTAGTACATTACTTACATGTATGGCCTGTTGTGCAAGGATAATCTCACATTTTTACCTCAAATTTCACCACATGTTTTGCACAGATAGGCACAACTACAAGAGAATAATCGTGTTTGTGAGGCATTAACATTTATTATTTGAGCATGCATGTCTATGCAAAGAATAATGTCAATGAATAGAATTCTTTTTAATGTCTATGCAGGGTTGTCCATAGGGCTGGGTCCGAAAAACCAAAAACCGAAAACCGAACCGAAATCAATCGAACAATACCAAAAAAAACCGTACCGCAAAAATCAGAACCGAACCCAAAAAACCGAACCGAACCGATTGTATTCGGTTTTGGTTGCGGTTTTGGCTATCTAAAACCGAACCGAACCGTTGAAAACTGAAACACTTACTTTTAGGAATTCCGAATTTAGGCTTTTGCAATTTACGCATTTAGCATTTTAGGGTTACGCGAATACCCGAACTCCTCCATCGCAGAGACGCCAATTTTCTTCGGTGGGCTCTTCAGTCTTCAAGATCTCCAATCTTCTTCGCTGCGCTCTAGGATCCAACTCGCCAGGTCGCTGTGCTCCAACATCTATCCGACTTGCCACTTCGCCAATTCGCCACAATCCTTGGCGGGCAAAAATCCTGATTCAGACTCCTCATTCCTCAATCGCCAATTCGCCAGTTTCTTCTTCAATCGCAGAAGGTACGAATTGAAGCATATGTTGTTTAATGTTTTTTATCAAGTCATTCTAGCAAATGTTTGGGTAATTTTCCAGCAAATGTTTGGGTATGAAGCATATGTTCTTTAATTTTTTTCAAATGTTTTGGTAATTTTCCGGCAAATGTTTTGGATATAATTTGGGTATCTTTGAAATGCACAAATATCAAAATATGCTCATTGCAACATAATAACAGTGAATAGAAAGTATTTCTTGGACAAAAAGCGGATGGGGCATATCAAAAAATGCACCCAAAACCTTTTCTGCCTTTTTTTACTGCAGTTTTTGGGTTGATACTTG